ATATTGGCACACCACTTTTGTTCACATAGACAGACACTTGTTATATAGTGCTCGTGGCTTTATGTATGAGTTTCGCGTCTTATTTTGACAGTTTTGAGTGTGAAAAGAAATGAATGCTTGTTTTACACACACCTCTTTGACTTTCGTGCACGAAAGGACTCGAAATAAGGCCAGGATGTATTATGTCAACTTTCTCTTATTATCTGTTTCATAAAATATTTTAGAATTAGTCTAAATGGGCAAAATTGCCTTTATTTTTCTTAAATCTAAGTATCTAACTCAATGTATTTCAACTACTTTTTACGTTCTACCCATTTTGATATTTTTCAAGTCCAATTTATTTCAGTTGTTATCGTTTTGCCTTAGTCAAACTTCTATATCTTTCCTTCTCAAAAGTCAAAATTGAAAAAATTTTCCGGTTCAACTCAATTTTTTTCGAGTTTTTCCAAGCTGGGGAGGGTTGGACCGAATTGGTTGTGTGTTTGGATCACGATTCGATCGGTTGGACTGCCCGGTCTAGTCTGAGTTTAATAACACTGATGAGCCCATGACTAGGGGTATACCAAATCCCCGTGACCACCATCACTTTTTCGACTCACACTTGGTGTGTCGTCGTGGTGATGCCGTCATGAAGCGTGACAGTCTAATTAGGTGTAATGCACAAAAGGGTGGTGCTACTTGTACCCGAAACACAGTTATTTGTCAAGCTTAAGACGAAGGTTGAAGTTGTATCGGATACAAATTCTTCTAGATTGAGATTTACTTCAAAAATTTTAGACCTAAATCATAAATCTATAGTTTGGATGTAGTTTTTATTTTTATTTTTACTCGCATGGCATAAAGGGTGGCTCAATGACTTGATTTTTGAAAAGTGCAATTAACACTTCCCCTGAAGTCCATAGATATTAGATCTAAAATGGACCATAATGGGGTCTCATGATGCAAACCATGACCTAGAGGAGCTAGGGGATCTTATTTAATTAGGACTAGACGCCTAATCTAATTTTGAAATGACAATTTTAAACCATTGAGTGTATTCGTTGTTGAAATTAACAAAAAAACAAATGTTACTTAATTCATAATGGATTTACACAAATTGGTTTTAAATGATTTCAATATTTAAGTGAACTATTTCCTCCAAAAAAAATAGTTAAGTGAACTTGGATCTGGTTCATAAGTTACGAAAAATAGTCGAATTTAATATTTGGCATTTACATAGCATCTGGTATTATGTATGAAAAAAATACGAAAAAAGGTTGATAGTCATTTCTTTAGTACGTAAATTAGTGCAAAATCGGTGAAATGAATTAAAGAATCAGTATTTTATTAATTTATTTTATATGAAAACTATAAATATTTTAAAATCAGCTTCACGAGGCCTTAAACCTTCGATCTTTTTTATTGCAAAATACAGAGTATTATGTTATTTATTTATACAGAGTATTTCTTATAAGTACTGCGTTGTAGGCCCCGGACTCATCACCATCGACTTCAAGAGGATCTCTTTATAACTAATCAACATTTTTCAAAACAAAGTGAACTTCTTACTTTCTAAGAAATGTAAGAATTTTTCTTCACTTGAGAAGAAGAAAAACTTTCATTTCCCTGTAAGGCATGAGATTGATACAAATAGTTGATTGGAGTATTTAATTAATTATTGACCAATTAGTAATTATTTTATAAAAATTATATAATTATCATGCTATGATTTATTATGGACCCGACCCCATTAGGTCATTTAGAGTGCTCCCCCAACACTATATATTATAACCCTTTTATCATTTAGAATCAATGAATAAGAATATCAAACTCTTATATTTCTTCTCTTTTTTTGAGAGCTCGGAAGCGCTCAAAGTTTTCTATCTTTCTCGTCTCTTTTGTTCTTGGTGTCTAAAGGACACTCAAAGTTCCATATCCGATACGATATTCGTATTAGGGACATTTCATGTGAGAAACAAAATTTATTTGTGAGAAACTAAATTAATTCAATGTGGATTTCGTTGAGATTAATTGATCCTCGTTATAAAAAAAATATAAATCAAAAGAAAATCCGTGTTAACCTCATTACTAAAAGACTTGTAAAAAAGACTTATTTAACATGTTATGTGACACATTGACCGTCAACATCATACGACGGAGATGTAGATATTGCGGTGGATGTGTAGGCAGACGATGTTAGACATGATTGACGTGCGGTATTGGCACTTGTGGAGGATGAGCTACGAGATGGTTGAGATAGATTCGTGACGTGAAACAACATGCAACTGAGGCTCTAATGCAAAGACGTGAGAAGCTTACAATAGTAGGTGCATTTGGAGGAAGGGTAGACATAAAAAGAACTGAAAAGTAATTAGACATGACTTGGTCTTACCGAAGATATGATCTGAAATAAAAACATCTAAAGATAAAGAATTGGATAGTTGTTTGGACTGAGGTGGTAGTCTTGTCCTTGCTGCTTTGCAGGTTTGGGATCTTTCTCATTACAAGTGTTTGGCTCTTTTATCTTATTGCCTTTTTTTGGTTGCATTTCTGCTCTTTCAAAGCATTGTCTTAGTCATTCTCATGTTAAAAAGCAAATTCAGTTGAAGAGGTCTATGAACTTAATTGGCCGCAAAAGGTGTCAACGAATACTACATTGTTACATACATACATACATACATACATACATACAAACATACAAGATCATCAATCAACAAGACTACTTCCGTTAAAGAATTAAATAGCACATCGAGCCTCTAGGAAAGGGGTTTTGTTACGTGTTTCTCGCGATCAACAGTAGGCTTGCAATGTGTGGCAGACGACGACAATGGCCCTTCAAACTTTGCTCGCGGTGAGGTTTTTGCACATACCGTTCCCTGAGACGAAATGCAACAAAAAAGGATTAATATGCTCCCACAGTGGATGCTTTAATATGCTCTAATATCTCTAGAACACATCCACAAAACTTTACAATAAGATGTAGTTTCTATAAATTTCATGTGTTAAGATTTTTATAATTTATAAATCGCGAAGCAGATTTTAAAAGTAGAGAACGTTGGAAATTTTAAAGTAAATTGGACATTTTCGGACATAAATTCGGTAGGGTCCACAAAATTATTTTCCAAAATAATTATGGACGATTAATCTCGTAAGTAAGACGAACGTCTTGACATATGACACGTCATAAACGGTGCTCGGGTGAATGAGAAATTAATTCTCAAAGTTGAATACTAAAGTAGAGTAAATGTCTTTGTCCCACACCGGTTTCTAAACCTTTCGTATTCTCATATTTAAGCTTAGGCATTGAATTGAGCTTATGAAAGGAACAAGAAGAGGACTCCTCGCGCGCCTATAAAAGGAACAAGAAGAGGACTCCTCGGCGTTGAATTGAGCTTATGAAAGGAACAAGAAGAGGACTCCTCGCGGCGGCCGCGGCGGGGCTAACTTTTTACGAGACCAAAACGAAACGCGCGTGTACACTTCGTTCGTTATTTCGTTAATAACGAAGTGTATGGAATTGAAGCATGCATGCACTAATGGTGAAGAGTCTCTTGACTCTTCGTAATGTCCGTCACTTGCAAGTGAAGAGTCCAAACTCCCCTCCTATAAAAGGAGGGCTCGCTGCAGGGATAGCAGACACTTCGAAAATACATCTCTCACCGTTATAAACTTCCAGCAATATCCCATTTCCGATAGTCTTCTCCGGCGGTAACTTACGTCGTTCTCGTTCGTCGGTGCACGGTTCTACCGTTCTAGGCCTTGCACGAAGCGGTTTTATCATGGGAGGAGATTGCCCACGTTTGCCGGTGCGGGAGGCGGGCAATACTACCTTAAGGAAAGCTCTGGCGACTCCGCTTTCCTAAAGTTTAGTTCGACAAACTGCTCCGGCGACAACCTATCCTTCGTTCGACGTCTCTGTTTCCAAATCAAAGCACCCGTTCGTTCGTGCGACCGTTCGAGCTTCCAAAGAACTCCAGTTTTATTTTCTATATTTCTCGTTGTAAAATCCGAACGGTTTATAAGTTCGGATTATTATTATTATTTTTTATTCCCGCTGTTGATATTCAACAGAGAATGTATATCAACTTGAAAGTTTCTTTGATGATATGAAAATGCCACAAAAAATTACTTCCTATGTGCTTAATAAAGCTTTCTTCATATTTTGTTGATTCTTTGAAGTATTTTTTTTATTTTTGTAATAGTGAGAGACTCGTTTTTTAGGGATTGAGAGCCTCATTTTGAGACGTGCGCAAGGCCCTGTCAAGGAACCGATTCAACACAAAGTCCAAGCTTGAAGTTGTAAGCCCAAGAAAGTTTATATACTCTAACGGTCCCCCAAAATGTGGAGATCACTTCATCACTATAATATGGGACTGAGTGTTGGTCGTACACGGTCTGAACTTTTAACCGACCAACGATCAGTCCCATATAACATATATAGTGCAAAAGAGGGAGAATAATACCTGGAGGGATGGAAGAGGTTATGGTGGCGGTGCCGGAGAAATCACATTGGAAATCATGACGGCCCTTTGTCTGATAGAAGGCGTTCATGGCGTACGTGGCATGAGCTCGGACGTTGTTCGGGTTGAAGCACGAGCCTCCCGGTTTGATAGGGTGGCAATCCACCCCTTGGCTGCACACATAGTTTATGTTTGCTTGGAGCTGCCCATCATTTGCATTGGGTTTGGGCACGCAGAATTTGCTTGTTCCCCCTGGTCTCGGCCTCGGCTGCTCCCCATCCATATAGAAACATGAAAAAAAATACTAATATTATACACACACACAAACACACACACACACAAGCCTACCTTAGTTTGGCTTTTACAAGACGTTGACAACGTTGATATCTCTCGCTCGGATGGCTTTTATACAAAACCCGTAGTTAGATTGAAAGATATGATCACGTAGATCAATCTCCTAAAATTTCATAACATTCGGAAACCGTTTCACCACCAAATCATACCACTCTTATTTTCATTAATTTTAAAGGTAAATAATCGCTTTTATTATATTTGGAGATGAAACGATTTCGGAATGTTATGGAATTTTAGGAGATTGATCTACGTGATAATATCTTTCAATCCAACTATGGGTTTTCTGTAAATAAAAAAACAATCCCAGTAAGAGATATCAACGTTGTCAAAGTGTTGTAACACACAAAGTGTTGTCATTTTAATGTCCCTAACAAGGGCTCATGTAAAAGTACTCTCTCCAATATTTTTCAAAAATTGTCCATTTTCTATTGTTATCTTCCCCAAAAATATTTTCAATCTTCTACCACGAAAATAATTTACGCTTCACATTATTTAACTTTTCTTTTTAATTGAAAACACTTCATTTCATCACAAACAACCAAATATATGCACAACAAACGATAATTGCCGAATAAAATTGTTATTCACATTTTATTTCAATTCGTTTTTTATAAATATTTTCGAGTTTCTTGTCATAATTTGTCTTTATTTTTTTAATATCCAATTGAGATTAGCATCATTGAAATATTTTTTGAAATTAATTACAAATGTTTTGGGGGTAGGTAAAGTATTTTTAAATTTTGATGTAGGGGACAAGATTCAAATTTGAAAGTAAAGCATGACAATACATACAAGAAATTGAAGAGTAAAAAGAATTCGAAAACTTCCTAAAAAGAATGCCCATTTTCTTGATATGCGCTAAATCAACTTGTCCTTTTCCAATCACGGGACTCCTTACTATACTCCTCACTACATAAAATACTTGGACCATGCTACACTTACACCAACAAATATACCTCATTTGTACACCACAGGTTTGCACAAACATTTCGATGGTTTACACCGACACAAATGTTGGTGCGTTAATAAAAATTTACACGGACACAAATGTTGGTGCGTTTAACAAAAATTAGTTTTACACCAACACAAAATGTTGGTGCAAAACTGCGGGGTACAAATTGGGGTACAAATCTTGGGGTACACATAGCATAATCCAAAATACTTTGAACAAATTAATCTAACCTTTTTTTTTGCTTTTCAACATTTTTCTTGCACAACGTAAAAGTGAAATTAGAAACGGTTTTATGAGACGGAGATGTATGAACTTGGTGATGATATTATGCATAGACATAATATATGTCTATAAGCATTCAACGTTTAATGTTTTACTAAAATGAATCGTTAACTGATACAGTTCTTTTGACATTGAAATCTAATGACATGATATAACATTGGCCTATTTGAAGTTCCAACGATACTCTCAAGGGTCCATAAGTGATTCTTACGCAACCCCGAAACCTCACCTGACCCGAGTTTCCCATCTTCATTTAGTCGAATTGCTACTATAGCAGATCGACAAACGGAGAAGGATGAAGGGGGGAAGAGGTTTTGTGGGATACAAATCACATTTGACCTAAGGCTAATGGAATACTCCATATGTTTCAAAAAGAATGTCACAATTCGTACTTTAAAAATCACGGAAGTTTTTATATATTTGTATGTTTTCATTAATTATTTGATAAAATAAAATATTTTTATCACATGTTTTGAAAAAAACTTTTAATGTAATTTTTGAATATTTAAATTTTATTTTTTATTTCTAAATCAATATTCACGTAAAATGAATTTAAAATACTTAATGATTAATGAATAAAAACAATTAGTAATGATTAAAGGAATAAAAAGTTGATTGATATAGGACTTTTTTTTTTATTAAAAGACCACCCTACCCACCTGGCAGTGAACTAGGAGGTGGCCCATGTGCCCCATGCCAACCCTAATTAATTACGGGGTACCAAACAAACGTCAGAAAGCAACCCACTAGATTTTCTCTCTGTACTCCGCAGAATTAACTTTAATTCAGTACCAAATATGATGTGGTACTTCAAATTTTTTTCATATAAAAAAAAACAAAACTTAAAATTTTAAAATGAAAAAAATAATGCACAATGAGTGAGTATTTTTAGGAACCAAAAATATGTGACCCTGAAATTATATTTCTCACCCCTTTATAATACTCTCTCACATTTCACCTTCCACATCATCATATCCCCTCTTGTTCTTTTCTCATTAGTGATGTCACAAATGAATGGATGAACCTATATATCATGTAAATGTTTGATTTTGTTCGTTAAATATCTTTCGAGCGAGTGTTATGAACATTTACTTTGTATGTGTACAAACTCTATGCACCAATGGTATCTATGTCTTCACTCGGTCTCTATAACAATGTGAATAGTTTGTTTTGGACTACTTACAGACCATACTATTTTTGTCAAGTAGAATTCTATTTTAGAATGTCTTTGATAGTAGTAGTTTTCTATTTCTTTTTTTGCACAAAAGGATGGTGTACGATTTATAACATAGGCTGCCGTTTGAATACAATCACCCCAAAATTCAATTGGCAGGCCGGTATGGAATTGAAGTGCGCGCACGACTTAAGAAAATGCCCGTGTTTTCGCTCAACACGCCCATTCTACTGGGAATTAACAATACATGAAGATTCGTGGAGAATCTCATGGGTTGAAAAATATCCTTTCAAGCATTCAAACTTTGTACCATTGTCTGTTCGAACACACTTTATTTTTGCTCCATATTGTCGTCCAATCATAACATTAAATTCTAAAAAAACTTTCCCATGTCTCTTTTACAAAAAAAATACGCCCAAACCCCACTGGAGTAATCATCAACCAACATTAGTCAAAAATATTATAGAACCTTTTAAACTCGGTATGATGCGTACCCCAAATATCACAATGCACCATTTCAAAACTTGAAGTAAATTGATAAAAAACAATAGGAAAACTGGTACAAGCCTGGTTAGCACGAAGACAAACATCACAATGATTGTGTTTAAGTTTGCTCTTTCTACTAGTTCTAGCAGAAAGGGCTAAAGATAAAATATGGGAAATTAGATACCCAAGACGTTTATGCTAAAGATCAAAGGTACTTCTCTCCATTTTTTCTACACGTCATATGGTCATCCATTCTCTTCAAGCAGTATTATCCCACGCTCACCCACACCAATCAATATCTTCGAACTTAGGTCATGTAACATTCAAACTTCTTTAGTAAATCATGCCTCACAATTGTATTCTCTTGTTAATTGTGATACTTAAATCAAGTGATAATTAAGGTTGGGAACAAACAAGACATTCTTTAAAACCAAAGTTTTACTCAAACTAAGGGGGTGTTTGTTTTTCTGCCAGAAGACCTTCTGGCGTCTTTTGTCTGCGCCGCGCAGACGCGTGCAGATGATGGGCTCTGCAGATTGTTTGTTTTTTGGAAGACATTTCACTTAAAAAAGTCTTCCTGGCATCTTCTTGGAGAAGACATTAACCAATGTCTTCTAACATCTTCTCCTTTTTTTTCTACTTTTCTTCACCACCACAACCGTCCACCGCCCCGTCCACCACTACCACCGTCTACCATCACCGTCCATCACCATCATCGTCCACCACCACCGCCACCATCCACCGCCACCACCGCCGTCAACGTCCACCACCACCCTCCACCACCACCACAATCGTCCATACACCACCACCGTACACTACCACTATTAATTTATATAGCAGTCTACAGACAGTCTTCTTCTTGCAGACCGCAGACCTTCGGTCCACCACTTCTCCTGAAGATGTCTACAGTAGTGGTTCGCTGCAGAAAAAACAAACACCCCCTAACTCTTTTAGATTTAGCGCACAAAATCCATTTTCCATCTAGTAAAACAATCTCACATGCTGAAATAGGAGTAATATTATGTATTTAATTAAGATGTGTCACTTGTCATATAATTCAATGCCATACTATCAGTAATCCAACGAGGATTAGAGAAAGTACTTGTAAGTTTGTAATTTGATTCTGGAGGTGATAGAGAAAGAGAACCGTGTCCCATTCCCATTGTGCTAGGGTAAGATATTCAAAACCAGACAACGAAGAGGAGCTCAAACCAGGAATGATGTGCACAGACTAACTGTCGTTGCCTTCACTATTAGCACATAGGCCCTCTGTCGCAGCTCCGGTCGGTGTCTGCCCTTGGCCGCCATGGCCGAGCCCACGTCCAGCTAGCGCCCCTAGTGCCACGCGCTGCACCTTCACGTCCGGGACTGAACACCCATCCCTCAGTGTATCCACGTAGTTGGAAACATGTGTTGACTTCATGGTACAAACCTAACATTAACCTTCTTTGGGTTGGTTTGCACAGCAAAAACGGAAGCCGCTGAATCTTCGCTCACAATTCAACTAACAAGATGTGCAATTTTGTCTTATATTAAAAATATTGTAGATCCAATTTACAATTGATCGTGGCGCAGAAGATTTAAGCAATTGATCCATATTGTGCCTCATCAAGACCCATAAAAAACTAGTGGGCTTCTTCTTCTTTTTTCTTCGCGAGGACAAAATATGATGAAGACTTGATGCACCCTTGGCACATACACAATTAGGAAATTTGTCAAGATCACACAAATCACCCAGAGTTTTTTCATCAGACCATAATAATCGGAGATGGTAAGTCCTTTTTGTTTGCAATCACTTAACTCGCGCTTCACTTGTTGGATACGTGGTCCGTTCACAACTGAAAACAGAGCTTTCAATTCATCCCATAAAAACAATCAGGGAATGATTGGTCGACCCATCATCGAAATCTCCAGAAGCCTTGTTTGGTTAGATAATACTTCGATTAACAAATCCAAAATTATTCCGAGCTCGTAGAGCAAGGCGCACGAATTTGGATCACTCTTCATAATAATTCGAACCCTTGAACACATCACCTGGTTAAAAGTAACCTCAGATGATCACTTGGCGAGCGATAGTAGGGGGGATTTGCGGCGACGCCGAACTGGAACATCGTCATCTTCATGGTCATTAATCTTCTTTGTCATGATCTTTTTCGCCAAAATTTTGTCACCCATGGTGATCTGACGGTGGCAGATGGACTACGCATAATCGGCCAAGAGAAACATCAGAGAGAGTATGGTGGCGGATGAACGAAGTATACTCGGCCAAACATTTTAGAAAAGATTACGCTGGCTTAGATACCATTTTAGGTTTGAAAAAAATATATGGGGAAATATATATTTCTGTATATTTCTTTACGAAGAATAGAAAGATGTATATATAACAACCCACGGGCTGACAACTCTTGTGCAACTAGGAAACAAACTATACAATTCCAAGGAAAGAGATTAATATCAATTCAAGGAAACAAATATTAAAGTATATTTACATTCTTAATCCTAACAGAGTTTTCTCATAATATTCACGAGCCAACACGATTTTTTTTTGTAAAAAGCTTAAAATTTTCATAATGTTTATATATTGAGGTCTATAAAATGATTAAGGATTTAAGAATCACGAAAGAATTTACCATTGAGGAGGATAACAACGATGAAAAATGATTATGCAAGTGAGATATATGGATGGATGAACCTATGATATCTATACATCTATCTATACATTGGGCCTGTTTGGGAATAGCGTTAGCGTTTTTGATAAAAGTTTAACGGTGCAAATTAATTTGAAAACGCTAACGTTAAACGCTGCCCGTAGATAGCCTTTTGAAAACGCTAACGCTAATCTCTAACGCTATTCCCAAACAGGCCCATTATTTAAAAATACATGATTTTTTTCCCGCCCATGCATGACACTCATATATGGAAAGTGTTGACAACATAAATGGTAGTTTAATTATTTTACCTTAATGTTTTCCTTCCATTTTAAGTATGTTTTCATTTTTATTTTTATTTAAATGTTACACCATTTAAGCATTTAAATAAAATTAAATTAAATAGTAGTGAACCATTGGGGAATTGAAGTATGGAAATAAAATACACTGCCATTTAAATATTAAAATAAAATTTAAAAATTACAAATTAATAAAGTATGGACAGGATTAAAATGATTTATGTCAAACAAACTACAAATTAATTATTTATCATTAAAAAATATTATAATTTACAAGCACAAACGCGTAAAAATGGTAAGTTTTCTAAAATAGATTAGAAAATAAATATGGTACGGTTAGTAGATGATAACATTTAAATAAAAGAATAAAATAAAAAACTACAAATTAATATTAATACTATAATTTAAAAGAATGAAAACGTTTTAAAAATGACAAATGTTCTAATTAGAAAATAAATAGATATGGTATGGTAAGCAATTAGCACCATTTAAAAATGAAAATGAAAATAAAATAAATGGTAAGTTTTCAAAAATAAATTAGGTCAGTGTTCTAAAATAAAGGAGAAAATAAAATACTCCCTACATCCCCAATTTTATTACAAATTGCGCATTACGGAGTAAAATTTCTTACCTTTTCAAATCATTTTATTTACAAGTTGATATATCAATAAGATATAAAAATTACATATTAAACAACTACGTCAAAAGTTCTACAACACAAGAAGCGATAAGAATATTTTATTTTATCAAATAATTAATGAAATCGCGTAAACAAACAAAAGTTATCGAGAGAAGAGAGAGAAAAATTGTAATCTATTTAGGAGAGAGAGAGTACATCTAAAAATGATAAGTGTTCTAAAAGAAATTAGAAAATAATGTGGTTTGGTAAGTAATTAGTACGATTTAAATACGAAAATAAAATAAAAAACTGCAAAATTAATGCTATACTTTAAAAACATGATTTTTTTTAAAAGGTAAGTGTTCAAATTAGAAAATTAGAAAATAAATACAGAATGGTATGTCACCACGATAAGCAAATGGTACCATTTAAACACAAAATAAAATAAATGGTAAGTGTTCTAAAATAAATTAGGTAAGTACTCTAAATAAATTAGAAAATAAAATAATTATTAAAACGATAAGTATTCTAAAATATATTAGAAATAAATACGGTACGATAAGTAAATGATACCATTTAAATAAAAAAATAGAAAACTACAAAATAATACTATCAATTAATACTACAATTTACAAGCATGGTAACGTGTAAAAATGGTAAGTGTTATAAAATAAATTAAAAAATAAATATGGTACATTAAGCAAATGGTACAATTTAAATGCAAAAATTAAAAAAATTATAAATTAATACTATTAATACTATAAGCATGGAAACATGTAACAATGGTATAAGTATTCTAAAATAAATACTATTAATACTATAATTTACAAGCATGGATACGTGTAAAAATGGTAAGTGATCTAAAATAAAATAGAAAATAAATATCATAGGGTAAGTTAATGGTACCACTTAAATATGAAAATAAAATTAAAAAATACAAATTCCAAAATAAATACATTAATATGTTGAATTATTGCTTAGATAAGTCAAATTATTGAATTATTATCAAGAACAATATCAGAAACATATTGAATTATTGTTACGGAAACAGGTATTTAGTCATGAGAAAGTGTATGTTGCAGTTTAAAGAGTAATAAATCGCAATGGCTTGAAGATTCTGATATACAACGAAGTGAATACTCACACAAATTATACATACGAGTGATGTAGTTTATAAATAAGTCTTTCGAAATTTGTAAATCATTTTACTTTTGTACTTTAAAATAATGAAATCTATATATTCCATTATATACCAATTTATATTCCTAAAAATGATCTTAAGTCATGTAAATATTTGATTTTGTTTCTTAAATTTCTTTTGGGCAAGTGTTATGAACATGTACTTGAATTTGTAAAAATTATGTGCACTATTGGTATTTATGTCACTCTATCTCTCTAAGAGCATGAATAATTTGGTATGGATTATCTATACCATACCATTTTTATCTACGAGAATTTTATTTTAGAATGTCTTCGTTAGTTTCCTAATTCTTTAATTTGGCAAACACATAAACATACTCTGTATATATCATCTTGAAGCGTCATTATAAAATCACATCATTAAATTGTTTTATCTCAATGTTTCATATCACGTGTCATTTATACGAAACTATCTCCTCACATCAGGATTGACCCCAAGATTACAACAACAACAACCCAGTTGGATTCCACTACAGTAGGGTCTGAGGAGGGTGTGTGTACGCAGACCTTGCCCCTACTTGGAAGCAGGGAGGCTGTGATTAATAGTGTAAATCTTGTGATTAAAGTAGCATTTTTACTATAATAATTGCTCTAAATCAATTACTAGTATGAGATAAAGTGAGATTAAATAAAGAGAAACATTTAGGCATATTAGTCCAACTTCATTTCAAGAGTCCAGCCCGTGAAGCGTGAGCCCATAATGAAAACCACTTTAAAAGCCTTGGAACCCTAATTTCGATGTTCTCATCCACTCTCCGCCTTCGATTCTTCGAACGACTGGTACGCTACTCTATGTTCGTGTTTGTATCTGTTATCACTTAGATTTCTGTTCTGTTTTTTTGTTCGAATGAGATTCTGATTTCATGTTTGATGCATACTATTGTTAATTTTTCAAAAAGAAAAGTTTGCAGATGAATTTGCTGATATCTGTCAATGATTTGCTGTTTCAATTTAGCAATTAATTATGATTCGATCGAATGTGTCTATGAATTATCGGTGAATTCTCGGACCAATCTAACCAGTTCATATCTAATTTTCGAATTTACTAACCTAAGGATTTTTGATGGGATGATTGTTTTCTGATCTCATGAAATTTGGAACTACAGATTCATATTAATCTTGCTGTTGTTTGAAGTTATTCTGTTGCAGAATTGATCATGTTTGAGCTGTGTTTCATAAAATTCTTCGATAAAGTGTCTCTTCCTTTCTCCAAAGTTAATATTTCCAATTTTCACCATGTCCCCGTCTCGGTGGAACTTCGTGTTTGACGTGTCTCTTAGGGAATAAGAGAACATCATTTTCTTTTCTTTTCCTTCTGAATTCCTTCAACCAAACGTAGTGTTCGGTTTGGAGCATTTTGTTATGAACCAATTGAACACATGCTTTGTCTTTGAAATTGACTGCGAAGAGTGATAACTTGTGAATATGATTAGAATTGAATGATCAAGTTTTTTTTTCCTTGGAATGTGCACGTCTGAATTACCCCCTTGAAATGTTAAAAATAACCTGTTGTTAATATGAGTTGCATTGTTTGCTCTTCTGTTTTAAATGGTTTTTTAAATCAGCAGGTGATATTTGTGCCTCTGAAATCGAAACTTCTCAAGAATTGAGTGAGGGAGGAGAAGAGAAATGGGTCATTCGAACATCTGGAATGCTCACCCTAAGAACTACGGGCCTGGCTCGCGCGCTTGCCGAGTCTGCGGCAACCCTCATGCAATCATCAGAAAGTATGGAATTATGTGCTGCAGACAGTGTTTCCGCCACAATGCCAAGGAAATTGGATTCATCAAGTACCGCTAGAGTATTTTGGCACGCGCTCTGGGGTAATTGAGAACAAGATTTGAACTTTTCGAATGCATTTTCTCCGATAAAATGAGAGTTGTTATGGTTTTCTATTTCTTCAAACTGTATCTGGATTGATGTGTTTTTGGTGTTTAAGGTTTCCGAACTTTGTTAAATTATTGCATGCAATTTTTCGCCCCTTCCCTTAACTAATTTGAAATTGTGGCCCTTGATGATTTTGCATGCATATAGACTTCCTTTCCAAGTTTTGTAAGTGGGAATTATGCTCTTATTTTCAAAGTTTTTAGACTTCCTTTCCAAACAGTTCGACGTTAAGCCAATAATAGTTTGTGACTTTTTATTCGTTGAGAGTGCAACCAAAATGCCATTTTTGGTTGAATAAGGCTGACTACAGTCCATGTTAATAGCAATGATTTTTACCTAAATGTACTTCAATCACAACTATTGAGTCTCGGAGTCCCTTGGACCATCGACAATGGGTTCTCTATTCTATGATTGCGCTTTTCGAAATTAGATTTGTGAAAGTTTTTGAGTGGTAAGTTTTGTTTCACTTATAAATAGAGAATTTGTGACCATTTGCCATGTGTATGATTATCATTAATTTATTTATGCTTATTGATGTTGAATATAGTTCTCATCTAAAAATAAACACTTAATTAGAAGTATGATTTTCTGAAATAGACTTAGTTGGATTTGTGAAGGGAAATGTAGGTTATTTTTACGCCTTGATGCTATAAAGATGATAATACTTTTGGATTTACTAGATTGTTGGTCAATTAATACAAGAATATTCACTTTCAATTTGAGAGCTTTGGAAAGAGCTGTGAATCTAAAAAATGAAAGGTAATTGTTTAAAACATGGGTCTCTTCTTTGGTAGTTTGGGAAATTCTTCTTGCTCATACATAATAAGTATGCTGAGTTAGTATCTTTTTGTATACATGCACTTGAAGCTTATCATGCTTAAAATGGTGAATCATCTATTTTTTGTAATTTATACCTTATTACCTTTACTGTACAATAAAAATAAAATTAACTGATACAGTCAGGATGAACTTTATACACATTTTAGGCTAAATGATATTTTGTTGTTTGATGGAGTACGATATCTGTTTTTTCTTATTTATCTATACTTTGCTTTTTAGGATGAGTGCTCTTGAAAAGATTTTACAATTCTTCTTATCCTTATTATTGATAAGCAAAATAAGCGAGCTGACATCAAGGTGTATTTCAGCAATTTATAACACTTGTGTCATGATAATACTTACTCCCTCCGTCCAAAAATAAAGTTCACATTCACTATTCACAGGGTCAAACATTATTCACTTTGTTGGCCTATTTTTGTGTCCTATTTAATAAAATAATATAGTCATGTCATCTCTAGTTTTGTAGATCTTTTCATGTAGTTTTTAAATATGTAATTTTTATTTTTTTAATTCCATACCATTTTTCATATAAAATGATTTGAAAATGATTTCAGCCAAACATCGTAACGCGCAATGAGAACTTTATTTGTGGACGGAGGGAATATGTTTTTGTCCCGACACAACTTTCCATACTTTGGTTTTTGAGAAGGTTGTGTATGAAGAAGGTTTCAGCGACTATTCTTTTTTGAACTCTTGTAAATTGTAATAAAGCAATGATGAGTGGCACTCCAAAAATACACCAAAATTACAGTATATAAAGTATAAACTCCAAAGAGACATTTGAAGGATAAACAAAGTGTGTAAAATCACAGTTTTAAAACGGAAACAAAAAAAAAACTCATTCTGACATGGGACTAGGGGGGAAAAAGTCCCAAAACCAGAAGCCAAAACTGTTGTTTTTCGTGGCACAAGACTGTCCCAACCCCAGTTTCCCATTCACTTCTTTCGAGTCCTCTTATCGCCGTTCATCGGCCTGAACAAGCGTTTCGATTCGATCTCAGACTGGAGGGAAGACCTCACCTGTTTCAAATGCAACTGGCACTGGACATGGCAATGAACCTCTGGCGTTCGGGTCGGGTTGGGGGCATCTTCGGGAACGAATCTTCTTTGATACGGAGACGAACCCCACTTCGCCAGAAGGTAGGGGTACGACCGCCACGGAGGGATGGGCATTGAGCTCTGTTTGAGAGAGGATTTGGCAGCTTCCACCATGACTTCGAGGAACTGTTTGAGCCTCGGGATGGATCCGACGTAGATGATTGGGAGGGAGTTGAGGATCCGGTCGTATGATCGGACGGCTCTCGCGATTTCAAAGTGGCTCCGGAAGTCGATGTCGATGATCACACGCTCGCAGCCTCCGGAGTCGTCGTGCGTGATCACGTCTATGTATTCGTGGTCCCCTAATTGTAGGAAAAGGGGAGAAGAAACACAAAACAGTTAGTTTATACATGTAAAAGTCCGTAGGACCTCAGACAGTACCACCAACTCTACCAAAACCAATTGGTGTTTAGAAATGCACACAACCCCACACAAGGGTCATGTCAATCAATTGTAACTTGATTCACCATCAAAACAAAGAAACTGTAGGACACTTTGGGTAAAGATGAGGGGAGAGTAGTACCTGCAGGAACCTTGCCATTGCCAACCCACTTGGAAGAACAGACACCAGAATCATAGCCCAAAAGCCTCAAGAGCTTCACAAGAGAGTATTTGATACAGCTCGAATTGCACGGGCCTGACTTGACGGCGTGGAGGTCAGCGTCCTTCATCGATGTCAACAATAGCGAAACCACCACAGAGAGAAGTTTGCTCTCGTATTGGTCCACCGACTTCTTGATATACTGCAAAGACGTTAGAGAACCGAGTCAATGAACATCCAATAAAAATGCAATTTTTACCACTGAATCTATCACTTCAAGAATTGCAGAACTTGGGTTATCCCTAGAATCTTGTTAAATTTTGAAATTTGAAATAGACAGAAGCTGAGTTTTCTTTCCCTCTTTCAAGTTTCAATTCATCCCTTCCCTAAATGCATCCTTTTGTTGAGTGTTATCATGAGTGGTAAGCTATTGTAGTACATTATCATGTCAAGACATGGGAGAAGAAAATCAAGTCAAATAAAGGCTCAATCTTGAGCAGAAAACTGTAAGTTAGCTATATCATCTCCAATTCCCCTTACCAAGAAGCCATTAATGGCATGTTTTGATCCCGGAAAACATCATTTCCGCGATAAAGCCCGGAATCAAACACCGGGTCTAACAAATTTTAGACTAATATGGGCGTATAAGAATACGAGTTAATCTTAGCATTTCTAATTAGTTTTGGGTTGAAACTTGAAATCTAAGAATTTCTAGTTATATAATGTAAAAAAAAAACAAACCAGTTTGAATAAAATATCTAAACAAAACTATTGAGCCATATGATCATTGAAGATGTTGACAGCATAAGAATATTCCGAATGGGAACAAACGCGTTTGCAGCCAGCTACAGAAACATTAAAAGAAATAATATTCCAAAAAAAACTAATTAGAATTAAAACATGATCTATAAACCTAAATAGTATTTTATACCAAAATATGTCAATGCCAAAAAAACAACGCAAAATGGCAATTGTGCCAAAATTATTCATGAGATGAGAGAAATGTTAGTCACAAATTACATTAATTTGCCATTTTTGGATTTAAAAATCCACTTTTTTTAGTTATTTGATGTCATTTCATTGTTTTATCGAGGTTCACAAATAGAAAGTTTGTGATTATATTTTGGTATACTCAGTATATGATAATATTTCATGTTTAGGGTTTCTCATGATAAATATTTTGGTATATATTTCATGTTTAGTGTTCACCTTGGCATAAAAAAAGGTAAAAAATCTTACTCCATCCATCCAAAATTATCCTCTTGTTGGGTGTTACATTGTTTGATTTTATTTTCAAATCCTTTTATATAAAAAATGATGTAAAATTTAAAAATTATATTTTTAAAAACTATAATATCAATTCCTTAAATTTTCATGCCGTTGTCTTCCACAACATGTACATTTCTTTATATTTCATGCTCTCATTTTAACATTATTATATTATTTCATGAAATGACAACGAAAATAGGTCGTGAATAAAATTGAACTCTAAACAAGAATAATCTTGGGAAAAGAGAGTATTTTGGTATAAGTTTTACCTTCTTGATTTATTTAAGTAGATTTCAAAGGATTCAAAACAAAAAGTTGTTGAATTTGGGAGGAAGAGGGGGGATGAATAAGAACACTGACCGACAATTTGTCGGCAAGGTGGGCAAGATCGGAGAAAGTGGAATCGCTATCGCTGCTACTCCGGGAATCGGCGGCGCCGATGCTTCCATTTTCCAGAAAATCTCTCACCATCGCGGCCAAATCAGTCTCGCTCTCGTGGCTGAACCCATCGCCGCCGCTTGCTCCGCCGCGGCCGGACGGCCTCAACCACAGGTCCCCCGGCAAGGCGCACACCTCACAGTCCATCGCAACCAACGCCGGCACCATAAAAAAAATCTCTCCCCCTCTCCGATTTTCGCCCTCAATTCAAATCTCCCCGGCGAATTCACACACCAAAACGCCTTAATCATACAAAATCGAAAACTAAAAAATTTTAAATTATTTTTTGTTTATAAATATCTTCAAATCTCTGATCACAGACGAACAAAAAAAATTGGGGAAAAGGAACTGAGATTCGGGATTTTCCTGGGATCGAAACCAGCTCAATCGAATTCGAAGTAACGATATTTCTTAAGAACGTGGAAAAATCCAAACATTAGGTTCTATCAAACCCTAGTTATCGAACAAAAACAAATCAATTTTGATGAATTGCACCCCGGAATGAATCAACCCGGATTAAAAAAAGCGGAATCATTCAAACCAAGAAATGAAAATTTTAATAAAAAAATTAAAGAAAAATTGGAGGAAAAAAAATATGAATTTGATCCAGAGGGGGGTGAGAGGAAAGAGGAGAAATTTCTGCAACTCCCAGAGGATGAAGAAGAAGAAGGGGGGAGGGAGAGAGGAGTTCAAATAGAAAATGGAGACCGACTTATGAACGTGAAAAGACGGAAATGCCCTTTGTCGTTTTCTTAATGTCAAAGACAACTCATCACTTTTGACGGGATCCTCGAGAATGATCCGACCCAAAGAAAGAAAAAAATTACCGCATATTTTGGGTTTAAAAAAAAAAATAATGCATCCCAAATTCTAATTTTGACTTTAAACATTTGTTAACAAAAGTTAAAAACTTATTAAGACTTCCAATCTTTGTTCTCGATTTAATTTAATAAAATGAAGAGTAGCTAAAGATCTTGTTGTTCAATGACACCGTTATGACTCTCCAAAATGAGAGATCACGTGTTCGATCCCTAGTAAGAACAGTAAATTTATTAGCTTTAATATGTTATGAAAGTATAAATAGATAATACATTATAATAGAGTTATTATTATTCAAAAAAAGAATATAGATAAAAAAATCGACACATTCATTGAAACGTTAAAAACTACCGTCAGATAGTCTTTTTAAAGCACTAACGTTAATCTCTAAAGAAACAAGTTTTTCATTATAAAAGAATGATTAACAATAACATTTGATTATAACATTTTTAAAGTATGTGATTTGAAATAAGATGATTAATTTGAGACAATGAAAATATTAATGAGTAAAATAAGCTCTTAAACGGAATAATGATTAATGAAAATAAATATTCTCTGTCTCGAATTAGATTATATTTTTTTTCCCCTCTCGATAACTTTTATTAATTTGTGTGTTTTAATTGAATGCGGAGTATTTGATAAAAGACAATATTATTTTCTCATTTTTTAATAAAATTTTTGGCGTAGTTTTTTATATGTACTTTTTACGGAGTATTTCTTATTGATTTACCAATTTATAAATAAAATGGATTGAAAAGGTGAGAGGTTTTACACGTAACTCCTAATTTGTAATTAATTTAGGGACAAAAGAAATAAAAAAAAGTGTGATTTTTTTATCCATTTACATAAATTTCAACTATACATTTCTAAATGTTGTGTCCACTCAAATTAAATCCAAAAAATTAGAACGAAGAGATTAGATTTTTAGGAGTACACATGAAGTACAGTAAATCTCAGTGCGGAAAGTACAAACTGAAGAGAGGAAAAATAAAACAAAAAAAATCGACTCATTCCCACGGCGGAAACCGGCGGCGACTCATCGGGGCTCAGATAAAACGGGAGATTCCCCGTCACCGGGTGGCTGATGGATCCCTAACCCACAACTGGGCTTAAATTCATGAAATTCGAATCAAATTAGGGTAAAATGCGTTCGTTCCATCTCCAGCTCACTCAATTTCAATTTTCAAGTTCTTAATTGTACTGTTTTTTTTAAATTACTGATTTTTAACTTTAGCCCTCTCTCGTCTTTGTTCGATTCTGGTATTTTCCTTAGATTTTTATCAATCAGGGCTTCCTTCAAGTAGTAATCAGCTACTAAGAGGTGAAGTTTGTGTTTCCCGAATCTTGTAAATTGTGCATTGCGTTCTTCTCCAGTCAGCATTTTGCAGTATTTACTTGATTTCTTGAGCCATTTCTCTTTATCTTATGTAAATGGTGTTATCTACACACTGTGTATGGAATTATGGATTATAATGTTTTCATCTGGCTGGTTATCTTCAAACCCTGTTGCCCTCTCATGCTGATTATAATGGGAGTGATTTTAATGATATTTATGACATCTGAAGTGAACATTTCTATGTATCTTCATTTGACGGTTCGGTGAATTGATTCATGGTTGCTTTGTAGTGTAACCATTTGGTAAGCCTATTCTAACAAAATCTTGAACTATCTGTGGGTCCTTTTGGTAAGGGCGCCATCGTTATTTGGATTAAATGACTAGATGAATTTTCTAAAAGGAACAACATTTAGTAACATCAGTTTCAGCCAAATAAGATAGTCAAATCTACTTATTCTTCAGAATATGCAGAATAGCTGACTATGCCTTCCGAACTGACCTGTAGTGTGCTAGTTTTATAGCTTTGGTTGTGGCGATTTTTTTTCTGGATTATGGTCTGACCATTAATTTATGATCACTGCGTTTATATACATTCATGAAACAATTGATTGCTTGATTCAGTTTGTGCTTGTTAAGGTTTGAAGATATCATGCACTAATTTTGTTTGAATGTGTAATTTATTATTAAAATATACCCGGACTAAATACGTTCTAAGTATAATTTCTTGGATCAGTTTTTTTGTAGAATGGCTCCCAAACCTGACATTGGTTGGGATCATGCCACACCAGTTAACGGCAGCAGAAAAATGGCCCAATGTATTTACTGTGGGGAAATCTTACATGGGATTAGAAAATTAAAACAACATGTTGCTCATGCACCTGGAACAGTGGGACCCTGTCCAAAAGCTCCTAAAGACGTTGCCCAAATGCTGATGAAACATCTTGCAAAGGGTAGAAGTGCGAGAGTCACAACATGCACAGGGGGTGCAACGATTCATGATGCTTTTGAAATGGAAGGAGATGGGTGTTTGCAATCTATTCATAATGGAGATGAGAGTAGTGACACAGATGATAATTATTCATGGGCTGACGGATTGACCGAGCTTGAAAGGCTGCATCTTAAGCAAGCCATGGAAGAGAGTCGCCAAACAGCACGTTTGGAGGAAGAGCAAAGGAAAAAATTTGATCGCGCAGTTTATCAAATCATGGCACCTTCAACTGGTATTTATATTAGGTTTATGAATAAAAATATATTCCCCCCACTCCCCCCCTCCCTCAAAAGAGTCAAGCTTCATTACTTATTTTGTCCCAAAAAGAGTCATGTTTCAAGACTTATTTTGTCCCAAAAGAGTCCTGTTTCAACTAACGAAGCAATTTAATTTCAAAAAAGCATATTCCAAACAAGTAATAAATGTTAAATTTAGTTTAGAATGGAAAGTAAATTTAAAAAAATGTTAGTATTGATAACTTACAAGAGTCGTACCTTACCAAAACTTAAAAGTTGAACCTTGATGAAACATGACTCTTCTGTTGGGATGCGAGGAGTTATATTTTAACCCAATTAACTCATGTTTCAATCTTCCATCCATCTTGGCTGTTGTAACTTTAGGCAATGATGGTGCTGGTCCTTCAAGCCACTCAATTTCCAGAACAAAGCGTGGCCATTCTTCCAGAAACAGTATGCATCTTAGTAAAGTTTATAGATTCTACTCCCTATGCCCCATAAATTCCACTTGTTTCTCCTGTAGTAAATAAACTTCCTCTCATATTAAGGAATTTAAAATGCACTTGATGTTTTTTTCTAAATAAAATAAGAAATCTTAACTACACCATCTCCAGTACTTAAAACGCATGCAAAAGTAAATGCGAGGTTTATTAAGATACGAATGAAGTATTTTTTTATTGTGGTACGAACAAAGTATTTTGTATGTTTTCTCTTATAAAATAATATATCAAAGTAATCAAAGGCTATATCCGACCTCAAGTATTAGTGTATTACTCTCTCCATCCCAAATATTTGTTCCAAGGTTGACTTGACTCGTTTTTTTAATAAAGTAGAAATAGCTTAAGATGGAGAGGCAATATGAACTAAATAATCTTTTTCTAAGAAGGAAACAAGAGCATAATTTTGGGACAATCCAATAGGAAAGCAAGAAGAAAGTTATGGGATTGGGGTAGTAATTTCTTGTCTCTGATGAATTAGTTTCCAATTACCTAGCATAATCATGTGAAAAAAATGGTTGTCTTCCATCCTCTTTTCAGCAATGAAGAAGACTCATGTTGTCGAGATGCAAATTGAAGAATTGGAAAATGAGTTGGATTTTCAAAAACAAAAGGTAAATGATGTTGAACAAGAAAATTTGAAGCTAAAGAAGGATTTGTTGCATATGCAAGAAGAACTTATGCGCCAGACTAAAATGGAGGAGGAAAAGAATCCTGGTATCTGTGAACTAAAAGCCTTGCTGTTTCAAAAGGAAACGGTATGCTAATTCACTGAAGCTTGTGCTTGGTATTTGCATTGAGCGGACAATTTTTTGTTGAACTTTGCTTGTCTTGTTGCTTGATCCTACTGTCGTTTGAGTTAATTGATAGATATTTAGTGTTGCAAACATCAGTGATTATTGCGTCTGCAGTCCCTTGTACCCTTTCCTTTTATTAATAGAATTTCTCATTTAAAAATAAAAAATTGCCTACTTAGTTCTAGCTGACTAATGTATTTGTTAGTTTTGAATGCTTTTACTTGCATTGAAAACTTTTTTTTGTTCACCAAAAATGTCATCTTTGAACAAAAAAAATCTAGTTTTCATTATATTTTACGTGAAAAAGTGTCTCGAACAAGTTAATTAAGTTTGTCAAATTTAGTAACACCAAGATATACATTTTAAAATATAGCTCGAGTTGATGATTTCCTACCGTTGTACCTCACTAAAATATAAAAGTTGTACCTTGTGAAACATGAATTCTTTTGAGGGGAATGAAGCCATTATTATAGTACAGAGTATATAAAAGGGGTATAATTTGTTTTATGAAGTTGAACTACCTTTATATAATTATCCGGGAAACTTGGGTACCACTGTTTTTCAGATAAAAAAAGCTTATCGGAATGGCTTTTTCTTTTCTTTTTTTCCATATTGAGTTCAGGAGATCAATGAATTGAAAGAAAAATTAGCTGAGAAAGATGATGAACTTCGTGACGCGCAAGATCTAAACCAGACTCTTATACTCAAGGAACTCATGAGTAACACTGAACTGCAGGACGCCCGCAAAGAATTGATCAATGTAAGTCTTTTCATATCTTAAAATGCATTAACACTTCCCTATATGATCATCAAGAGGAGGTTTACGTCACATTTTCGTACTAGACTAATACTCATCAGACCAACACATTTCCTTCTTCCCACACTGCACGGGACAAATGAGTCAAACCAACACCCAGACATTCTTTCACAAGCCATCAAGTGGGTGGTAGAGCTCGACATGGGTCGGTCCTTGGCGGGTTTGGGTCACGGTTTTTGTCAATAATATAACTAAAAGCTTTTATACCCAAGCCTGGCCCAATAAATGGGGTCGCATATTTTTGTCCAAGCTGCCCAAACCATAAATATAATTACGAAGGCACATTCAAGCCCGGCCATATTTTGTTAAAGTTAATATTGAAATCCATTTTCTAAATATAACTCCAAACCATTTAAAACAATTAGAAAAATATTGGCAAGCTTGATACTTTGAATTACACTTTTAAATAAATATTTTATCTTGCGCAAAAATTTATTGCAGGTTGGGCTTGGGCTTTGATAGTCAAACCATAAATATAATTACGAAGGCACATTCAAGCCCGGCCATATTTTGTTAAAGTTAATATTGAAATCCATTTTCTAAATATAACTCCAAACCATTTAAAACAATTAGAAAAATATTGGCAAGCTTGATACTTTGAATTACACTTTTAAATAAATATTTTATCTCGCACAAAAAATTATTGCAGGTTGGGCTTGGGCTTTGATAGTCAAACCCAATTCTTGACCCATTTATTAAATGGGTCTTTCATTATGTTCAAATCCCGAATTGTGGGTTTTATTTTTTGTGTAAGCCCTCCAAATATTGGTTGGGCTTTTAGGCTGGGGCACGTAGCTCGATTAATGTTCACATGTAGTGGGCAGATTCCTAACAAGCCACCATTGGACTATATTTTGATCTCATTCTTAACATACCCAAAAAGGTTCACAAAGGGCGAGATTTACCTTAAACTTATATACTAGACTAGATTCAAACCCACTAACCCAGTGTCCCTTTCCGTATCCCTTTTCGTGTCCCCTACCCATCACGTCCTCGTCATGGACATGGAAAAGGGCGTTTGATCTCAACCCACCAACATTTTTTGAAACTTGGAAATCATATACTCCCTCTGTCCATTTGGATTCTTGACAGAAAATATCACGGAGTTTTAGACAAATGTAAGAATATTGTTTACTTTCCATATTTTCATATTTTCCTCTGACAGTACAATTATTAAAATATGGTGGGTGAAATGGGGAGTTTGAAATTAGAGATGATGTGTAAATAACCTTGACATAACGGTGAACTGGACTTTTTATAACCATAGTAATGTTAAATTTGGAAGTGCCGAAGTGTAAATAATCCAATGGGACAACAAAAAAATGGAAAGTGTAAAGAATTCAAAGGGACGGAGGAAGTATATACCTTGGATAAGTGAGTGACTTCATGTTCTCATGCAGGTTTGGCCTGATCTTATGAGTAGATCAAAAGTTGGCATAAGGAGGATGGGTGAGGTCGATCAGATACCCTTTCAAACTGTCTGCTTACGCAGATTTGGTCGGCAAGATTGGGAGCTGAAAGCAACAGAGCTGAGCTCTCTATGGCAAGAGATGGTGAACAATCCAAACTGGCATCCTTTTAGAACAATAAAGAAAGACGGGAAATTGCAGGTATGTTTCTTTCCTCTTTAATGGCTTTCCCACAAGAGTTGCTTAGACTTTATTTTAGATGGATCAAGACACACTATAAAAAAGATAAAAATTATTCGTCAGCTGCGATATGGGTTACTGTGTACTTGAATATCCCCTCTATGTTTTTCGTCATTTTCTTTCTCTAGAGTTTTACGGTTTCCAAACAGACCCATAGGGATTTGTGATCATCATCTTCAAAAAACATCTATCATCTGTCAGTCATCTTCATAAATCTATTTCTCTGCATGGCTATCACTTGCATATATTATGCAGGAAGTAATAAACGAGGACGATATAACTTTGAAAGAACTGAAATATCAATGGGGCGATGCACCCTATAAAGCCGTTATTGCTGCCCTGCTGGATTTAAACGAATACAACCCGAGCGGGAGATACGTAATTCCAGAACTGTGGAACTTTAAGGATGGGAAGAAGGCCACTCTGCAGGAAGCAGTTCAATGCCTAATCCATCAGTTAAGGGCTCTCAAGTCTTCTCCTTATGCTTGTTGATCAATCCACATATCTGTGTTACCTCAAAAGCATTTCAGCAGATGTCTATATCCATCACACGGGTTAGAGTTCAATCTCTCCTCTCTTTTTTTCTTCCTTTTTGACTGACTAAATACATCTAGCTCACATATGAATGTTTTTGAGGAGTTTTGCTCCAATTTTCCGGTTAGAAGCCCCAACGTGTTTGAAGGTTAGGGTCGTGGGGGGGGGGGG